CACTTTGAAACTTGTCCTGGAGGGCTGGGCTGGCGCGGTTGTGCTGGTAGGTAGGTAGGTAGGTCTCCCTCCCTCCCTCCCTCTGTCTGTCTGTCTGTCTGTCTGTCTGTCTGTCTGTCTGTCTGTCTGTCTGTCTCTCTATCCCCCTCCCTCCCTTCTGATGTATTGAGCTTCGTGTACACGTACATGTACATGTACGTGCATCACTAGATAAACAAGATGCAGCTGATTCCGGGCAACACAACAACGTTGGAACTAGCCGCGTTTTAACTCGATGGTAAGGAGGATCTCCCTTCATCAGCGCAGCTACAATGTAACATCATGCACGTGTGTGTGTGTGTGTGTACATGTGTGAGTTGAAACGCAGTTACAATGTACTACATGTACTAGTAGTACGTAGAAGAGGAGCAGCAGGATGACAATAGCCGCTACGTGAAGCTCTGAATGCAACAACCTTAGCTAGAGCTATACACGAACATAATTGTGATGAAGTTTCAACTCCATCCCGATGGTCCAGCACTGCATGGACCAGAAGGTCTAGAACCCAATTCAATAACCATTGGCATGGTATAATGTAACGGTTTCATACCACGTGACCAGACCAGCGCCAAAGACCAAAACGGCAAAAAGCCATCATTGTGGTGAGCGCATTGGCTCCTTACTATATTTAACAGAAAGTCACCTATTCAGCAGTGATTTTGACAGAAACTCGACTCGGAACCGGCACTATGGTAGGGTGTACCTGCTCAATTCGACGTGAGACCCACGGCCAGTGCTTGCAGAGTGGCGGGGAAAGAGCCAGTCAGCTCAAAAGCTTTCCTTTTATACTACTGTATGGTAGAAAGGAAAGTTTCCAGGCTGTCCGGCAATACACGAACTGCTCACTTCCCAACGTTACAGCTACATGTACATGTACACTGCTGGCAACTAAAATCCGACCCCCTGAGCGGTGTGCTCACATCGCAAAGAATGTGAACCCACCGCTCAGGGGGTCGGATTTCAGTTGCCAGCACTGTAGTTAGAGTAAGAAGAGGAGGAAGAAAGTGTTGAAACTCTGAGCCACAACACTCTCTTCCTTCTCTTCTTGTTGTAATACATGTACATGTACATTGTAGATAAAACTTTGAAAGTGTAAGGCTGAGCCTTAGCTCTGCAACCATTGCAGGAGAGTGAATACATTTCCTCATTCATTGTGTATCATTGTATTAATTAACCCCTCGGTGGAGGGGGGGGGGGGTACTCTTGGTACCTTCAAACAGTCATGTGACTGACCATTCCCTTCAGCTACGTGTATAGCGTGTACACAGCGTGTGTCTGCCTCTTATCTGTGTCGTTCTCAGTGTACCACTCATACCACCAATATTGCAAACAGTCTCCCTGAGCAGACCATACATGTACAGCTGTACATCAGCAGGCACGCCGCAAGCCATCACACTCTCATCAGGCTAGCACTAGTAGTATTAGCAGGCCTGCTGGTCTCAGGGTCTTTGTGTTCTGCCGATTGCCCTGCGAGTGGCCGTCCTTTCTCTTCATTACCAAGAGGATACTCAACTCCTGTTGTTCAAAATACACAAATTCTAAGCGGACACATGTACATAGTTTAGTACATGTCCTCCACACAATGTCAATCTGTGACAAGTATCAAGTGCTATCATTCGTAATTAGTAATTACCGCTCACTAAGAAAGTGGTGGACATCACGCAACTGCATCATAAAGAAAAGGGGGGGGGGGGGTGGTCAACTGACAACCGCTCAGTTGATATTCACAATCGCCACGTGCGCTGGATGAAAAATTCTGTATTGTGATGTTGAAAAATTATGACGTTCGGGCTAGTCACCCATTGTCAGAACAATTTACAAGGGGCGAATCTGGCCTTTTTTCCCTTTAAAAGGCCAGGGTCGACCCTTGTAAATTGTTCTGTTGATGGGTGACTGGCCCGAAACATCTTAATTTTTTGACATCACAATAAAGAAATTTCATCCAGCACATGCAACGATTGTGAATAGCAACTGAATAGAGCGGCTGTCAGTTGACAAACCCCCTTTTCTTTAGTAATTACTAATGAGTCTGAAGAGTCCAAGAGGCCAAGGATGAGTGCCGTAGCAGTGCTTGGCAGCTGTGGGTACACGTACATGTACATTACTGGTATTCAATGCCTCAGGAAGGGTATTACTAAGTTACACACATACATGTACACATACACACACACACCAAACACACACCACACACACACACACACACACACACACACACACACACACACACACACACACACACACACATACACACACACACACACATAAACACACACACACACACCGTGGCAGCAATGCAATAATAATCATCATTATTCACCACAGGACACTGGTTGTGAGTTAACCACCTCACCGTCCTTGCTGCTAGGCGCTGCATCTGCTACCATGGTATAATCAGGCATGGTGGTGGCCTGGCAAGAGCGAACCTTCCTAAGCTGGTTGTGTTTCCAAACACACTACGGGAATTGTAAGTAACGGAGTGCGAACTTTACGTGCATGTGTATACTTCATCACCCTAGGCATCATTGAATTAGGTTTTCTCTGTTGCCGTCAAAGCATGTTCACAAACAGCATTATTCATAAGGTTGAGGGAGCTTTGCTGGTGGGCTGATTTACTCTCCTCCTACCTCACCATTACCCCACCGTTAGGCGCTGCATCTGCCGCTAGGGTTTACCGGGTGTTAGCGGCCGTCGTGAGTTCCCTTCGGGAACGGATACGATAATTTACTTTTTTTTTACCTCAGTTTAGGAGCTTCACAGTCTGCGCCTTTGATCTTTGCAGGGTAACGGTGTTCCTACGGATGCTGAGAACTCAGTCTAACTGAGTCGCAAGTAAACCGTGAGGGAGTTGGAACTGGGAAAAGTCTGAAGAAAAACTGACCGCAAACAGCAATGTTCAACTCTCATTCCTCTAGCATAAGCCGTGCCTCTTGGTGATTGAAACATTTAACGTGATTCCTTCTTATGACCTTGACTCCTGTGTGAACCCGTGCTTAGCACTCCCACATTGCATACAGTACAAGCAGGGACCAATGCCTTGCATATACTGTACACGCGAGGACCGTACAGTATTTGTATACATTCTGAAACGAACATGAAAACAGCGTTTCAAACACTTCTTCGGGAGATTTGAGGATTCACCGAATCTACATGTAGTCGTAGATGGGCTAGGTGCGCATTTGTTTCAAGGTGTACATGTATGCTGGGTTCACTATGGGTAACTGTAGACTTGCACAACGGCATACATCCAGGTTGTTATATGTGGCTACATGTACATGTACGTCCATCTTGATATGGGTACAAGGTCATAAGCAGAGTGCAGCCAAACACACTACGGTTTGCTCTCTGGTGATAGTGTCTTGTGATACGTTGTTTCATTCATACCTGACGACGACGGCATTACCAACATTGCCGAGACGATGTATTAGAAGAATTGGTTTGATTCTCTGCAGTGCCTTGGGAACGAGTGTGTCCACCCAAATACTTTCTATAGTGATACGTCGTGATCATCATAGTCGACCTCATTATTCACAAGTCTGACTGGCATGTCTTACCAAGGCCCACACGCAGCATAGTCCTAACGTCCAGTGTACAGTGGTGTATACATACACGCAACATGCGACTTGATACGGACACGAACAAATGCACTTGGAATTATCAACACCAACACCATCACCATCACCACCATCATGGTCCAAGATGCGCAACTCTATTCCAATGCCGTATGTCCAAATTTTCTCAGAGAGGGGGGGGGGGGGGTCTTCATCAGGGAGCACATGAAAGCACATAGAATACCATCCCTGGTATTATTAGCTTCCCATGGACACGCATAAAATTGCAGCCCAGCCTTGAAAAAACATGGGTCCTCGCCACAGAGCGCTGATTTTGCCCTGGGGGCAGACCAGATAGGGAGTTTTCAAACTACAGTCATGTAGACTTTTGGTAGAGGGGACCTCAGTGTGCAGACTGCAGTGCACGTGTTCGAACCAGCATAAAGGTGACAACGATGTTGTCTGACTGCATTCATCAAGAGCATTGTACTGCGGGTAGTATTTGGACGCTAGCTTCTGGTACTTCATTCAGCATTAACGGGCTCGCTCACCTGAGTGTGGCCGGCTGAACAAGGTGACGATTAGTTCGCCGCTTTCGTGAAGGAGCAGAACGGTGGTCACGCAAACGCTACTGGTACTGGTACATTGCATGGTATTACTAGCAACAACATAGTACATTGTAGTATCTTCGCCACTCCACATGCACGCATGCATGCATTCAACACCGGGCCAATCGTCGATGCATCCCCATCACTGCCCTCAGCTCAGCACCGCGGGCATGGATCATGTTTCGAGGAGGATACCAGCCAGTGTCCAACACGCAACTGCGGTAGACAGCTTCTAGCACGCCAGCGACACTGACGGGAACCTGCTCGTTTCCGTCTAGCGGTGAACGACGGCTGTCAGCGGGCGAAAGGAACTACATACAGCGAGCTTCTTCAAACATTCCGACATTCACTCCTAGAAAACCCTCATAGTCATACTAACCATAGGCACACATGTACCGTGTGTTGACTGTTGTACGTACATCGACGACTTGCATCACAAACGGACGAGACGGGGAAGAAAATATTTTTTTAGTACTGGAGACGCGGTCATGTACGGTGAATGCTGCATGCCCTGCACCGAGAGAATGTTGCAATAGCATGCTAGTATCGCTGAGGTCAGGACAGACAGACAGTGCAAAAGTTCAACAGTACATCAAGGGTGCAACCCGGGGCCAAGGGTACACTAGATTAGAGTGCGCTGGCACATGGTACTCGCGCGCGCGCGCCCGCTGAAGGTTCGGCACACCCATGCCGTGGCGAGGCGGTCGGCTGGGCGCAATTCCTGACACCGTGACAAGGCTCAACCGGTAGTGGTGGAGCACGGCCATGACATTACTCATTAGCGTGCATATCTTCGGCTTGTGGGTATTCGCTGAGTCCGCGTCGACTCGCGTGGCTAGCTGTCTTGTTCTAACTAACGGGTTACTTGGCATGTCAAGATAGTGTTGCCTGCAGCTGAGCGGAGTGTTCAGGACCAAGAAAGGAGAAGGTCAGACTGAGAGCAGATTGTCCTTTCTCGCTTCCAGTTGAGCACGTGTACCAGCTGAGGGACGGATCAGCTAAGGCCCCAGTTGTCTTTTCGCCTTGTCGTTTTTGCTGCTGTTGCTGGACGCGTTGCTGAGCATTGTCTTTGAGAGTACAGCTCAGTGCAGCCAGCAAGCCACGTTCGAGGCACGTCGTTCACGTGTAGTGCCGTAACTGTTGTTGAAAAGAACGCCGAAATCAGTTGGCGAACTGTCTTCGAGGTCATAATAGGTTCACCACCTTCGTCGGCACCTTGAAAAGACCCAGGCTGCCTGGGTGTGTTCTGTTATGTGCTCTATTGCAGTGAGTGAAAAGACCACCAGTTGTTCACGCTTTGTGCCCCTTACTCTGTTGAAAGTGATAACTGAGTACTCGTTTCGGCCGTTGATCGACCATTTGGGACCATCCATCGATTCCTATCTAGTACTACTGGTTCTAGTTATTGATTCGCAGAGTTCAGTTATTGGTTGAGCAAATAAGACCTACCGCGCAACAGCCTGGCGCACACACATCTTCACTGGCCGTATCCACGAACCGATCGCAGGCTTTTATTGGCAGCAGCAGTTGTGCACTGTGTGAGCTTGAGAGCGCGTGCCCTCCTCAGACTCTCTCGACTCCAGTCTCCACTCTCCAGTCCAGTGCCCTCGTGCCTCTTGTACATTTTTGGTACTTTGTAGTCCGTAGTGTACTCTGATCTGCTGAGCGTGTACTGGTCTAGCGTGGAGTCGAGCGTACTTTGTATGTAGTGCTGTGCTGGACCACCTGGCGTGCTGCTCGCGTGCAATCCCCACGACAAGTGCGCTAGTGAAAGCAATGATTGACGTTTGCGGCTGACTCTCCTCTGTACTCCTCCCCGTGGTGCTGGACTGCTCTTGTCCCGCTGCGTGAGCCTTGAACGAAAACGTTGTCGTTTCTGATTCTGGAAAGGTTGAGCGCGACAGAGACGCTGTCAGGTCGATTCGCGTTGAGTGCAAGCAAGGAGGTGAATTGAGCAAGCCTGGACGATGATCGCTAGTCGAAGTACACGCACGTCGGGTCTGACGACGGCCTCATCTACCCCATGTTTGCTGAACGACGCTGAATCTCTTCTAGCGTCCAGCGAGGCAGACTTCTTCCAGAAGCAAGTGGCCGCTGCGGCGCACGTCGCAAAGGCCAGCGAGGCAGCGACGGGATGTCGAGAGGGACTGTGTCCTGACGGATGCGTCACGCTGAAGTGTGTGGTGGTCGGAGATCATTGCGTTGGAAAAACGACGCTGCTGTCTCGCTATGTGCTCAATGAGTTCCTGGAGGATCACAAGCCCACGGTGCTGGATAACTATGCAGGTAAGTCAGTGTCACTGTGATGTCCGTGAGCAGCTAAGTAAAGTTACTACCATCACTAGATTGTCAGCATAATGACATTGTCTTGGTGGTGTTCAGTGCAGTCATTGGGAGAGCGGTATGCCCACTATAATTATGGTAAAACTAAAATACCAAGCACACAATTTCAACATACCATTATCAGGATAATCTAGAGGGCGACAGTCGGACTGTCCCCCAAAAAGGGAATACAAAAGTTCCCCTTGCCAATGATCCCAAAGAATGTCTTTTCCATTTGAGCCCCAGAAATTAAGACTAGCTACAAACAGGTTTGAGTAGTTGTGCTTTGAAATGTCCCAGTTTAGAATGACACCATTTGCTGACAGTGTCCCCAGAAAGGTGGTGGAGTTGATTGGAAATCAAAACACTCTTGCATTGGTATGTGTTCCTCTGTGTGTGTGAGTGGTGTGCTTGTGTGTGTGTGTGTGTGTGTGTGTGTGTGTGTGTGTGTGTGTGTGTGTGTGTGTGTGTGTGTGTGTGTGTGTCACTGTGTGTGCGTGTGTGTGTGTGTGTGTGTGTGTCACTGTGTGTGTGTGTGTGTGTGTGTGTGTGTGTGTGTGTGTGTGTGTGTGTGTGTGTGTGTGTGTGTGTGTGTGTGTTGCACAATGTGTGGAGAGTGTAACTACAGTATAAACATGGCTTGGGTGGTCATCTGGGCCAGCTAGGGTCTGTGTGGGTCTGTGTGGGTGGATGTGGAGTACATGACTAGTCTGTAGTACAGTTATACCTTCAAGTGTATGCCTTTTTAAAGGTGACTTGATAACATCCTTGGTGAAATGCCACCATGCGTATCCAGTGGTCAGTGGCTATCAGCCAGGCATGCAGGACACACTTACTTACTTACTTACATACATACATGTACATACATACATACATACACATGTAAACACACATACATACACACACATACCACACACATACACATGTACCACACAGAGGCGTATTACTGAGAGGGAGCAGCAACTTCAACATGTTCCCTGACTCCCATTCACTGGTGAAGTCAATGGGATATGATTGCATTGACTTTCACTCAGTCAGAGTCACGTCAGCTGATAGTAATGTTGTCAACAGCCGCACATTGCTGACACATGCACACAAACCTAGCAGGATACATGTAATGTACACGCAGGCTAGTGCTGGAGTAGCATTGATGTACTGATGTGTGACTGATGTATGGCTGATTAGAAAAGACGTAAGGGTGCAGAGGAATTATTACAATTGCTTGTTTGGTATACAACTGCTCCCTGTGCTCCCTATTGTCCAAATCCTATAGTCATGCCCGGAGCCAGTCAGTTTTTATTCATCATTCCATTTGTGGCAGTGCAGGAAAAAATGGAAGTAGGTGCATGGAAATGTAAGAAAATTCAATTGCACCATTCATAAGTTACTCTGAGAATGGTTGTGTGTGTGTGCAGATATGTACTATTCTAGTACATGTACCCGGTAAAGAGATGTTCTGTGTACACCGTGATTGACAGGGCTGCACACCCTGGGTAGTACCATAGCTTCAGGCATGCATGATACAGTCACCTGTGCTGCATGCCCGGCTGAGTCATCAGTGTCGGTGTGTCACCCTTGCTTCTCTATCCCCGGAACTCACTTTCTGTAACGCACACTCCCAAGCGCTGGACGCCTTTTCACTGACCGGGTGTGTGCACACACTGTACACCCGCAAGAAAATGAAGGCCCCTGCAGCTTGCAAACACGCACCACTTGCTGTCAGGATATCAAAAGACGGCCATCACTTCTACAAAGTACTATTGGGCATTTGTATGTGTTTTGTGTGTAAGTTCAAATTGGCTACAAATTGCGTCACGAAAATAGCATCCACCCCCATCCACGCGGCTGGAAATTTCTGTATGAGGTAGACAAATTGAAGCAGGATGGCTTAAGGAAGTTGGGAAAGTGCATTGTTAGACGACACTGCTGTTTTGAATCAAATACTGAACCACTGACAGGCAGGGGCCATCATGCCGTGACATCAAGTTGTATGTGCACTGATTGAGTAACATAGATCTTGTGATGCTGGTAATTAGGGTTATGTAGAGAACACTTGCATTGACAGGTCATAATCTAAATTTGTAATGAACAGTGCTAGTCTAATGGGCCGGTCATTCACAACTTAGTGATGTCCGGTGTCCGGTGTTGAGTTCTGCTGTCATCTACATGCACATGCAGTGAAAACATGTACATTTGCATTTACATTTACATTTACATTTACATGTACATTTACATTTACTTGTAGTTGTATTGTGCATCGTTGTCACGGGGGTGTCTATATCATAGTCCAGTGGTGAATCCTGCACCTAGGACTGCAGCCATGATACTAAATAGGGGTAATGCTGGACGGTAAAGATCGTATCAGCTCATTATCAGTCATGCGACCGGCAGTGTACAGTATGTAGTACAGCATTGTGAAGGGTATTCATTTTACACGGGTGGACATGAGATGATTCCTCTTGCATGGGAGCCTGGTGATGTTAGGCGGGAGGGAGAGGGGATGGGGGGGGAAGAGAGAGAGAGAGAGAGAGAGAGAGAGAGAGAGAGAGAGAGAGAGAGAGAGAGAGAGAGAGAGAGAGAGAGGCCCCAATGAGAATTGGAAGAAGAGAATCGAGCCAGGAAGAAAGAGGAATGGGCAAACAACTGCGGACATGTCGACAGTGTATGCAAGAAAGACAAGGTCATGGTTGTCTCTGTGTGTGCTGGGAAGGTCACAAAAAGGCTGGAGTTAGACTTCATCTTTGGGATGGTGTTGAAGTAGCTACTTCGAAGTGTGTTGTAGGTAACACACTCCTCTCTGCTCATCAATGGAGACTATTGATAACACACAATAGATGTTGAAGAGGCAGTATAGTAGTGGACAGTGATCATAAAATACGGTCAAATTTAACCGTTAGTGAAGCTTTACTACTTCTCCACTGGTATTGTGTTCTTACAAGTGAAGTTCAGTACCTTGTATGGATATGCCATGACTCAAGGTGGATCATTGCTCCATCACTGGCCACTGGGTTTCTCTTTGTCTGGTGGCAGTGCTGACTGCCGCCGGGAAGTACTACTGTGGTGTCTGGAGACTGTGAAGTACTAGTATCTGCAGGGTACCGGTAGTGTGGTCAGTGGTCACATTGTCCAGCATGAGTATGACATCATAGTTATTATGAAATCATCACGTGACTGTGTTGATGTGTAGGCAGGATCCCAAGAGCAGGTACATGTACATAGTCAGTGTACACTGACTATGTACATGTACCTGTACAGGCATAACAGTCATGTAGCCTGCACTGTGTGTATGTGAGTTGTGACTGTTGCAGGATCTCTCTCCCCCCCCAGCACTAATGCTTCACCCTGACCCTGTGACCTGCACAGAACCGGGTGTACGACTCGTAACCATACCAGTAGTCCTATCCATGAGCAACACTGACTACTAGTAGTGTAGTCTTGTGCACTATACGAAACTATCACTCCCCCCCCCCCCCCCCCCCCACACACACACACACGCCACCAGACAGTCCCGTATCCCTATTTGGCATCAAGGTGTCACGGACATTCACATTACCAGTGACGTGTGGATGTGCTTATCATCTTTTCCATTCCAGGGTCAGTTAGGACAATACAATCATAATTGTGCATGCACTGTGCACCTCAAGTAGTCAGAATGAGTGATTTGAGGCAGCACGGTTGCAGTTCTGAGTCTGTGGACATTAACCCTCCCCCCCCCCCCCCATACACACATGGACCATGGTTGTAGTGCTTATCCAGCCTGAACCTCCACTGCTGGCAGTTCAGAGTGCACTGCTGGGAGGTAATCTTGTGGAAGCTCCTAGCCCTGTCTGTGCTTCCTTTACCTCCCAAGGTTCCACGACCAGCACTGTAATTCTACAGGTGGTGCTTACCATTTAGCCTGCTAGTAGTCGAGTCAGCAGAACACTGATGTGTTAGCAGGTAACATGTATATACATTGTGTAGTCACGCACTGTGGGCTGTTGGTGACCAAATTTGTAGAGATCATCCACTGGCATTGTACTGAAGTTGTAGTAGCCGCAGGAGATGTGAGTGTTTTCCTCTGCTGTGCTACACGGAGTTTAGCCGAGTTTAGGTGTTAACCACCGGTGCAGCTGTGATAGTTGAAGTAGCACAGTTATCTACATGTACGTGTTGCTGTATTGTAGTCACAACGGTTGGCAGTGTTGCTGTATTGTAGTGTTGGCAGTGTTGCTGGCTTCCATGGCAAGTGTGCATACAGGGCACAGGCAACATGCCCACCAAGTCACCAACCGCGCATCACTAGTTTCAGTGACTGTGTGGCGTTGACAGCTTGGAGGGCTAGGGGACCACTTGTCCGGTGTGCACTGACCTCTTGAGTCTTGACACGCCTAGGCCCTACTGCTGCTGCTACTGCTGCTACTGTACAACTGTCATTACTCACTGTTTATGGCAGGGGATGTTCTCGATATTCACTGAAGCTGCTATCTAGTGATGTACAGTGTACTGTGATGCACGCTGAAGTATGGTTAGCCACTGCCAAATGCGGCTCTGCAGCTGCTCAAGTACCGTGATTGTCGATTAGTCCTGTGGTAGACTACCCAATGTATGAATAACTCTGCTTGGGCTCCATGGCCGGCCCTTAGGGATAGCAGGAGCTTAGTGGCTGGGATGCGGCAGTCCTGTCAACTGCATGCCCATGCAGACTGCAGAGTAAAGGCTACTTCAAGTACAACCTTTTAAAAACCGCTAGCGGCTATGTACTTATCATCCTAAGCTAATCCTGAGGCTTACCCCCTTTGATCATCATTTTCCAACATTTTGTCTGATTTGGTTTTTGTGTGTACGGTCATTCTGTTGTCTGTTGTGTCCCTGATATGCAGTGCAGCTGAATGTGAACAATCGACCAATCCAGTTGTCCATCATGGACACAGCGGGCTTGGTATGTCAGCAACTTTAGTAAATTAGCATACCATATTTGTACTTACTTGTCAGCAAGATCTTCCTCCTTCTAGGTGTACATAGCTCTTAGGTAACCCATGCCCCCCCCCCCCCCTCCCCACACACACACACACACATACATGCACACACTGTGCAGGTCAAGGATCCATGCTATTCACGCGGCCTGGGGATGTACAGTGCAGTATTTCATCGGATCTCCTGCAACAGGCAAATACACAGAAACACGCTGCATCTCAGCGGCGGCGAATACACACTCCAAGCCACCATGCCCATGACCAGTACTTAAAAAGGTGTGCAATCAACTTCGCTAATAACGACTGCGGATATAACGACAATTCGCGAATAATGACAAAATGTCCATGCCCGGAGCAAAGTCCCATCTACATGTAACTGTAATACATATGATGAGACTTCGGGTATAACGACACTTCACTAATAAGGACACTTTTCTGATGCCCCGCCACCGAGTGTCATATACACACACAGTTGACTGTATCTAGTGTAATAGGTGTATTTATGCTACGACCTGTATACTCACTATTCGTATTTCCCGCTCGTTCCCCTTGGCAATGAGAGCCACTCACATAGAAGAGCGCATCGGAGTGGCATTGATGCAGAAACAACACAGCGGAAGGAAGAGTGTCAGTGTCAAAGGCAAACCAGCGTAACTGATGCATGAAACACGATTCACACCAAACTCGATACGAGCCATCATTTTCTTGCTGGCCCTCAGGTTCAAGTACGTACTGCCTGACCCAGTGAACACTGAATGATATATTTTACGAATTACAGTAGCGTATTTTCCAGAGTATGAGCCGTACTGGAGTATAAGCTGTGCGCACCCCCCCCCCCCCCCCCACACACACACTTTTGCCACAAAATACAGAAATCTATCCTATTTATCACCGATCATCGGAGTATAAGCCGCACCCCCTTTTTGGGTGAATTTTGAGTGTTCAAAGTGCGGCTTATACTCCGATGATCAAATTACTTCTTGGTTTGCCCAATGAACTTAAAGCCATGATATTACTACTTCAAACTGATCATTGAAGATATTTGTGACCTGTTGACATGACTCGAACTGGATTTTTCTGCTTGTTTCCATGGTGGTTCCAGGTGGATTTCCGGACAATCCGACAGCTGTCGTACAATCACGTCAGCATCTTCCTGCTGTGTTTCAGCGTGGTGCAGCCGCAGTCGCTGCAGAACGTGCTGGAGGTATGGCTGCCCGAGGTACGTAAGCACTGCCCCAACGCTCCCATCCTCCTGGTCGGCACGCAGTTGGACCTACGCTCGGAGCTGACCGTGTTCCGACAGCTGCTGGAGCGTGAGGAGCAGCCTGTCTGGCCCGAGCGCGGTCGCAAGTGGGTGAAGGTGCTCAAGCTGGCCGGCTACTTTGAGTGCAGCGCCAAGACCGGCAACGGAATGAAGGAGGTGTTCGACGAGGCCATCTGGATCGGCCTGAAGCGACACAAGCACAGCAAGGGCTGGCTGTCGGAGAAGTCCTCGCGGAAAGTGGAGCGTCGCCACAGCGAGATCTCCAGCGACGACGACACGCGTCATGTGACGTGTATGGGACCGGTCGGTGGCAGCGGCGGCAGAGGACGTAACGTGGCACGTATGGTGAACAGCACGGCGACGACTAGCTCCGGGGATAGTTCCACCAGTGCGTTCAGTGGCTGCAGTGCTGACAGCGCAGGCATTGTCATTGGGCCCAGCATGGGCAGCTTCAGTAGCGGCGGTGGTGGCGGCGGTGGCGATGGTGGTGCCCATGGTGGTCGTGGGGTCGTGCGGAGGATTGCGAGAATCTTCTCCCGAGGTTCAGCGGGTCATAATTCATTGGCGTAGTTACGTTTGTCCGGCTGCGTGTGGTTCGAACGTGTACATCCACTCCTACCACCAAACAGGAACTTCACTCTACTCCGCAGTATTACATAGAACACTCTCTGCTTACCTCAGCTCTGAAAACGGTCATGTGACCTGGCCGGAGGGCGCCAATTAAAGCCATGTCCTGAAAAAGACATCCGATTCGTCCCGTGACCTGCCAACAAAACTCACTGCCGACCATTAGCTCTTCCACTCATCATGCAAGGTTTTGCCATCACCGTCAGTTGATCACAGGCACTAAAAACATCTTGAACACACTCCTTCCCCGAACATTCTTTCTTGAGGCTTCACACAGTCCGAGATGAAATGATGAAAGCCGTCAATTGCCTACTTTTGCGTACTGTAGCATGTTGTCAAGCCACACGGTAAAACAGATTTTTAATTCAGATTTTATCCCTCACTCACCTCAACATCTATATATTCTCACGTGTTGACTGTTGATCGACTCTCCACGCTCTCACACATGCACACACATACACACACACGGACGCACACCGGTACCTGTCGCGACCTGCCTCAGGCGTGATATCGAGACATTCACTTCAGAGTGCGTCAAAAAGTACGCTACACATCCAGTCTGAATATTGAGTAAATCTATTCCGTCTTCATTTCCCTATGAGATGCAAGTTCACATTTGACAAACAGAATGTATTTTGAAATCTTTCTTATCATAGTAAATACCACCTGAACTAAATTCTATTGCAAGGCATTTTCCAATTCTGTATGTTGTCCAGTCTGACAGATGACGTATGGTCTTTTAAGGCCACCCTTCCTTTACTTTTAGTAATGCTCATTCAGTTCTTGACTCCTTGCACATTCTAATTGTACAACACAGTATCAGGTAAAAGGTTATCCAATCCAACACACAAAGCGTGCTCATTTCAATGCGAGCTTTGTGAAGTTCATGATTGCACGCCCGGCAACTTTCCCTTGGTCCCGGTATCTTTAGCTTTTAAACTTAAAGCTTGGCCTGTGTGTACATGTAAATGCAGCAAGATATGGGCACAAGGATGATATTAATAATTATTATCATAACCTATGTTCCATCATTTACAGTAGATTTGGATGGTACTTTAAAAGTAAGGTCTGAGTGACTCAAAGGACCCGGTGTACAACTGTCATCATGCCCTATTGGGAGGAACCGGTTCCCACACAGCATCAGAACAACCACACATATTATAAGTAAGACCATCAGAGGATACATGATCGAGTCCTCGCTTGTCGTGTTTGTTTTTTCTCTGTATGGAGTGCTTTGGCTTCACCAGCATGGACTCGCCACTCAACGCAAAGCAAGCTGACAGTACACATCCAGCCAGGCAGAAGAGTATTACCTGTGTCACCGGCACTGTGACCGGCACAACCTCACAATCTTGTAGCATGATGATATGGTAGCAGACCACAACTCAGGTTCTCAATAAGAAATACCGTTCAAAGTAGGAAATAGGAATGGGCAGAGACATAGATAAAACGAGGATTGGGAACTCAAGTAAAATGCGACATTGATCACAACACATTCAAACCTGTACAGCCAGCCATCATGTTCAATACAATGACAATTAACGTGATCGAAATTGGCGATACCGCAAAGCCCAGTAGAGCTATGCGATATGCAACATTACGAAGTCATTCTGACAGAGATTCACGCGGTCACGGAGGACGAGAAAAGCTCAATAGCACCAGCACACGCTAGCATGTCCCAAGTCCCTCTCTGCGGTACCCGAGTGGCAAGAGCCTGCTGGCTGTGCAGACACAAGTACACAGGTTTCACCGTCAGCAGTGTGTACGGTTATTCAGCCTGAGAAGAAGATACAACTAGGTGAGTACCACACTGTATCAGCACTGAGCTCAGCTAGCCGGGGCATGCCCTGAGTTTTGGAGCAATGTCTACCTGCACTCACGACATCAGGAGATTCAGAGATAGGCTAGTAGATGATGCTGTGACACTGATCAGCAGCAGATGTTGTGGATCATCGTGTGCATGTCACACCGAGCATGACGTATTGTATCTACACATCCGAACACAATCTACCTACTTGACCGCTGTCTAGCTGGTAGACCACTGTCGACGCATGCGGTGATCCTGGGCTGACCACCATGCCCACTTCGGACGTCGGCGTGCTCTTTTGTCGCTTTATGCCGCGCCGCTGTCTCTTGACCTCGATGTCGGGCAGCGTGTACTGGTTCAACGGCGCCGGCAGAGCTGGCTCGGCCGCGTGCGTCTTGATCGGCGTCAGTTTCATTCCTGCCGACGCGTACGGCTCGGCGAGCGCTCGCTGTGCCCGGCTCACGTCCGTAGGCGACTCTTCAGTAGCGCTCGGCTGCGTGCCAATGCTCAGCATCTTAAACTTGGTCTTAGCGTACGGCTCTGGCGGTGGGTTGACGATTTTGGAGATGTCGTAAGCTGTAAGCGACTCGTCCGTTTGATATGGCATGAGCTGCTCATGCAGGATATTAGGGGTGGCCACGATCGTCCGATCGTCGTTGATGAAGCTCTGCCGCTTGCTGCCCGGAGCACTGGGTGTGCGCGATCGGTCGTGTGTTCTCAGCTGTGGTGCTATGACGTCGGCCGTGTCGTACAGCGACGCTATGGACATCTTACGCTGGCCAAGGCGCCCACCGCTGCTGTCCGGCGAAGTGCGTGGGCCACTGGCTGCGTACGCGCTCAGCGGCACTCGCGACGAGCTTGAATCGTTGCCTGTGATGGAATATACGCACACACGGACAAGTGTGCATGCACACACATACACACGTGCAAACACACATGCACGTACACACACGCACACAGAAGACGACACATACACGTGTGGGTGGCTTTCATTCAATGCAGGGCAACACATCCACCTGCAGTAACTGGCCTGGACTTGTCCAGTCGAAGACCTTTACCCGTTACAGACAAATTCACACCTGCATCCGACATGAGGGGCCTACCAACCAGAGAGTATTAAAAAAGCATATTTTACTACTCCCTGCTACCAGCCACACACTGTACTGCAGTATGGGCAGAGTGGATTCAAAAGTCGTTATTTCTTGACTTCTGACATCACCACTTCCAAGCAACACGTCCATCACAAGATGGTCTCACTCGTTCAGTTGTGTTCAGTTTTGATCCTACTTGAGAATTATTTTCACTTACGGTTCAAGTGAACTTTCTTCTTCTCGCCGTCGTGATGCTCGTCGCCATGGTTACGACCACGTCGTATGATGTACACGATGACGAAGACGAGAACGACAAACGCCACGGTGGCCGGTATGAACACGTAGATAAGCAGCAGGGTGTTGTCGCTGGAATCGTCCTCCAACACTTCATCCGGATTGCCGTCTCCGTTGCTATTGGCAACCGGCTGTGCACGAGACGTCACTGCTTGTGTAGTCGACGTGGTGCTGGTTGGTTCTTGAGGCATTCCTGAAGAGCGAAGAAATATCAACAGCGCCAGACGTAAGAACTAAAACAACAACGAAACATGTGTGCCCCGCCCCCATGGGCATACAAAGAATGAGAAAAACTCAGAAAGCTCCGCGTTGTGATAGTGTCTGAACTTGAGATAGTCTTACCTTGACTCATACTAGTGCTGGGTTGTGACAGTGGAGAGCAGCCAGCTGATGTCAATGTATGATAACCACTGGCACAGCTGTCACATTGTCGACCGATCACGTTGAGCGCGCACACACACTGTCCCGTTGTCTGATTGCACGACTCGCGGCCCGATGAGCCATCTGCGTGACATGCGCATGGCCTGTGACGCAAATGCGCGCGCGCACACCCACACACATGTGCCCCCCCCCACACACACACGTGCATGCACCCGTACAAGCAAGGACCAGAAGACAGGTCGGATAAACATGTAGGCGGGAGCATGAATGAGCATGAACAAATAGACATACAGGCAGACACAGACGGACCGGCCAACAAACAAACGAATAACTACACGATATTGTTACGAGATTATGTATCAGTGTAGCACAAGAGGGTTGAGCTCATAGGCTTTCCAGAATCATACGCCATGTCATGGACGGCTTAGCCATACCTCAGTACGTACTATAAACTGCCTAACATTCGCGACATATTAATGCTCGCTATTTTTACGAGAAGAGTGCAACGCGAATATTAACCAGTATGAAATCAAACTTCAACTGTGGATGGATGTAGGTGGGTGGCCACAGTGCTCCGCGAACATTTGCCGCCGCAAACCCGTTGGTCCTAAGAAATCGCGAAAATTTAGTGACGCGAATAGTGGGTGGTTTACAGTGAGAAGGTACATTACACATGCGTACATAACCAAGAATGTGCAGTGTGAGTTGAAGATCTCCCAGCCCGCAACCGGTTTCTTTTATGACATCAGCTTTTCACGGGCATTCGGCTCACTAGCTAGCTGATGTCATAATGCGCAGCCAGAGATCAAACACGAAGAAAACTTGTACTACGGTGGTCACAGCAGAACAGCTGACGGTAGATCCATGTGCCCTGAACCTGAACCTGATCCATGTGCCCTGAACCTGATCCATGTACCCTGGCCCTGAACCTGATGATCTGACACCGTATCAGACAAGTAGTGCGGAAAGGCATACGCATTTGATAATACTTCTTTCTGAAAACGACACAGTAAAACTTCCACCACGAGTAAGTCCACCCCCGGCCCAAGATAGGAGTTACACACTGTTGATTATGTAGTCTTGGTAACATAGCACACCCTAGATCTTACCGGCAACCATCATCTTCAGATAAGCCATAGTGGCCAGCGATGCAAGTGTCACACTTTAACCCAGTGACTCCCACGCGACACTTGCATGCACCAGTGCGACCCTCGCACTCCTGATTTACGACGCCGACCCCGCAGTTGCACCTCACACACTGCCCGACGACGTCGCGATGATAGCCGCTAGAGCAGTTCTCGCAGCGCTGCCCTCGGTAACCAAGGCGACACGTGCACATGCCCATGGGAGAGCAGGCCAGACCGTCGGCACCTGCTGACGTACTGCAACCACACGCTGTGCAGGAACAAGAACATACAAACACACACACACTCTACCTGTTTAGACTCCCACCACAAAAAAGTACACAAGAACGATACAGAACAATATCAACACATCTACGGAAACGCTCTTCTTCGAATGTTGACAACGCACATTGTAATCCAGCAAACAAACGCCATATGTGAGGGCATTCAATTCTACGCATTGCTTTTTTGCGTTGCGATGTTGTGTAGCTAGTATTGCCTTGTTGCACCCTCACTTCCTCCATTCACCACCCCAAATACCGTCAACCCGGCATGTGTATATACCCGCACCTGTAGAAATATGTAGAGGGGACGGTTTCAAATAGGAACGGCTTGACAGCAAAATTGTGTAGACCCAAACCGATCATCAGCGCGGATTGTTCACTCGAAATATGTTTGTGGAAGGAAACTGGCATGTTGAAGTTTGCTCTGAGGCCAGAGTCGATCGAACTGAGCCACTCCTTTGTGTTGGCCAGTTGCCTCCAAGTTGCCCAATTTTTCGTGTCAAATCAGAGGTGGCTCCAAACCGGATACGTTTTAGAGTGCACGTCAAATTCACTCTGAGTTATGAAATTAGGTAATCGCTATTGCTCCACGACGGCCAGTACAGAGCAACAATAAGCCTTGTGTGTGCTTCCATTAGTTTTCATTGGTATACGGTGCTTTATTGGCGGGAGGCGAGCCGCTGTTTACCTGTGACAAGAAGTTGATTTTTCTAAAGACGTGGTATGGCACTTCTGGTCATCGCAGAGCCATGAAATTTTGACTCTGAGTAAAACACATCGTAGTCTCACTGTGACATATGTTTTCTAAGTTAATCGAAATACCAAGAGAGAAAGTGAATATTGAGCCCGTTCTGGTTTGCAACGTATTTCCTATTTGAAACCGTCTCCTCTACACTCCCGACAAATCAACAGTTGCACAGACCACCCACAGGAGCACACACATGTACCCTAACCCTCACCCACCCCCCTCACCTCCTCCCCCCTCCCCTCCCCCCCCCCCCACATGCACGCTAACCCTCACCCCCCCCCCCCACACACACACTCACATGCACGCTAACTCTCACCCCCCCCCCACACACACACACATGCACGCTAACCCTCATCCCCCCATACACACATGCACGCTAACCCTCACCTCTCCCCCCCCCCCCCCCCACACACACACACTCACATGCACGCTGACTCTCACCCCCCCCCCCCCCCCCCCACACACACACACACACATGCACGCTAACCCTCACCCCCCCCCCCCCCACACACACACACATGCACGCTAGCCCCCCCCCCCCCCACACACATGCTAACCCCCCCCCCCCCCCACACACACACACAAATACACCAACAGCAAAGGACATAACACCGCGCACTACTGCAATGCATGCAGTGACTCACCTTGGCATGTGAAGCCGCCGGGAAGCGTACGCTTGAAGAATCCCGGTGCACATTCCTGACAGTTGGGACCAGTGGTATTACCCAGGCACTCACAGGTGGACGCATCACTAGCACTACCGTCCATCAGACATCGGCGTGCATGCCCGTTGCACCAACAGGTACCGAAGACCTGAGCAGGATAGGACAATGGTATATACACACGTACATGCTGGCATTTGGATGGCGGTTTCCTGCACACCTAGCCGGCTATATGTTGTGCATCGGCCAACATTATACGCACATACATGACTCCCAGACCCGGTTCCAGTGCACACGACTGTGGGTCTGCGGGGGTTTCCCTCTGCAAACAATACACTGTGACAACAACGGTGACAGGTTAACAGCAGCAGCAGCGGCAGGGGCAACCCCAACAGAGCAACAACACTATCACCGCCACCACTCATAGCAGCAGCAGCAGCAGTAACAACAACCACAACAACTCAGCAATGATGTCACCAGTGCTACCAGTAGCAGCAACAAGTAATATTTCAAAGAGAAGTGAAGAGGAGCTAGGACAAAAGGGTGGAGAAAGGAAGACGGCTTCGTACATGTCATTGAAAACCACGCCATCCAGTTTGAGATAGTTGCTGGCTGATCAATCTACCTTGCTTTGAATCATGCACTTGTGGAGAATGAATATGTGGCCAACTTTCTTTGACGGTACGGGACATGAACGGGATAGAGCGCGAAATATGATAACGGCCCTACCACACACCCAGATATACACACTAAAGCGGTGGGGACCGTGGTTAGTGTCAGATGCTGCTAAAGTAATGTCTTTTGCATATCTTTGGAAATAAATCAACTTTGAAACTAGTCGGAAAATGAGCCAATGTAATCATGGAGAAATAAAGGAAGGATCAAATGTTACGAGTTATGACCTACTGTCCACCAAGTAACTAGATTGTATTTGATCTAGTCATTTTGGTGGACAGTATGTCATGACTCGCAACATTCGGTCCTTCCTTTACTAGTATTTCCCCATAAAACTGATCAAATAATTATGTATTCTTTCCTCTGCTATCTTAAACCCTACTCTATTTTTCTTTTTTCTTCTTTTAATCTTTTCCTTTTTCCATATATTTGTGTGCCTGTAGTCGATTTCATGTAATAAGGCAACACTGCCTGTTTGTTCTTCGACATTAAATAAACCAATCCAATCCAATCCAATTCAAACTAGCCGTGCACCGATGATTACCTGTAGCTGATCTGCGCGGTAGTAGAGCAGCTTAGGGAGATCACTCCGATCCCCAATAACACTAAACATGTCATCAATCTTCAGGAACTGAATGCGAACCCTGTTGACGAACGGACCGCCGGGAATGTCCAGTTGAGTTTGGACGTTTCTGGTGTTCCCTGTGCAACACAGCAATGGGCAAAGGAGAAAGGAGAACGGATAGTTAAAGCCGGATGTACTGGAACATTTGTTTGGGTTTTGCAACTAGCGCCACTGCCAGGTTTTGCGATGTGTGTCACGGCTGTTTTTCTTTGTCTGTGTGGAGAATTGTGTGTCTGTCACCAAGGTATCATCTTTGATCATTCTTCTGACTCTTATCTTGTGCGTGGTAGCTTACAACGCAACGGTCTCAATAACGCTTCATTCAGAAGTTTGCATTTTGATAACTTGCAACAATAATATGTCGAAATGTGTGTTTGTGAAAAGTAGGACCTCGCACACTCTTGTCACTGTCTAGAACAACTTCGCATGCACAGGTCTCTCAGTCTCTGTCTGGGATTCACTCACATGTTGTGTTGCTTTCAGCGAAGTGCATGAGCAGGCAGTTATGAGTATTCATCACTTCAGAAGTACAATCAACCACAATACTGTACAACTACAAATTTTCGTTTGGAATTAACTTTCGCTACATTCGTTAGGGGTCACGAAATAACTACAGTTTGTACCAAACTAAAAAAAATTCTGAACGTTCGGGGTGACAGACCTCGACCAAAAACGAAATTTAGTACGTAACGAACCTGCTGGTAGAGTGATGTAACGAAAGATTTCGTAAACGAAAATTTGTACTTGTGCAGTAGCAGGTAGTAATGCTTCCCTGGTTGTATCAGGACTGAAGTAACAGTTGCCATGCAAAGTCATGGTGAATGGCACATCTCAACACCGGGAAGCACTACAGGGACACTAGTACTAGTACTAGGTACCTGTAATTGCCACTAATGGATATGTGCAGTGACTCTGACCATAACACTTCCATTACTGAGTTCTTTCCAAGGACTGCTTCAGACAAAGCACTTGACTTCATCCCTTCTTTCCACATGTTACCAGGTAACACAGGTTTCACCAGCATAAACCACTTCAAACCACTTCACAACCTCATCCCTAACACACGTTCACAACAAGCAAACATGGACCAGGACACACTGAATAGCTGTGGCATACCACCAAAGCTAGTACAGTGTGTGTACGTGTGTGTGTGTGTGTACGTATGTGTGTGTGTGTACGTGTGTGTGTGTCTCTCTCTCTCTCACCCGCCTGTGTGTGCAAAGCTCTACTGCCACAATGTAGCTATTGCTTCTACTAAGAAGAGATAAGTGTCGCACAGAGAAGCAGACTTAACCCCCCCCCCCCCCCCAGCTGAGAGTGCAGCTACATGTAGGCTGTACAACGTCTATCCAGAGCTGCAACAACAGAGTTTTACATCACATGATTACGAGTCACCAGGTAATGCTGTCAAACAGTGCAAAGTGACCATCACTGCATCAGAGCCTGAGTCACGTGCAACCAAGACTAACGTTTTCATAGCTGGTAGCACTACACACTACACACTACATAGCCATAGGTCGATGATAGGGTCCAAATAACTTGAAGTGTACATGTTTGTCATGTGATGTGAACTGTAAAATTAGTTCTGACTCAGGGACTCAGGGAAGCATGTGACTGGCTACAAACACGTGTGCCTGTCACTCCTGTAGTACCAGTGGTGCCACTGCCCTCTGGTGTTGCTCAGACATCACAAACTAGATTTCAACATGCTGGCCACTTAGTACAGTGAAACCTGGCTATTCTACCCAGTTAAGTCCAATCCAGGTGGCATGCTGCGGTTGGTCTACTGTCAGCATAACCACCAGTGAAGCCAACCTGGCAATTAGTAACCATGATCCCCGAATTTTCAAACAAGTCTAGCCCCCAAGTCATCATGGTCATGATCCAGAGCTGTTTGAGTTCTTGCACTGCATTCAGCTAGTGTGGGGTAAGATTCACCATGATGCAGCTGGACTGCGTCAATCTACAGTTACAGTTGATAATTAAGTTGATATACAAGTTTAGTATCAAGATAATGAGGCTATAATTCTTTTCTCTTTTCTGTCACAGTTAGTCTGCCCTCGCGGTATGGAGCACTCAGTTCTCAGTTTGCAAGTACAGTCGACCTACCCTTATAACGATAACCTCTATAACGATATTACCCTTATAACGATATTTTTCTGCCAAACCAAATCACTCCATTGATTTTTGTATACAATGCCCTACCCTTATAACAATATCGCCATAACGATATTACCCCTATAACGATATAAAATGGGCTGATCAATCAACATTTTCCATTTTGTAACGCTATCTAGCAGGGAAGATGTAGAGCCCACTATCCAGGTAGGGCAAGCTTCACTTGATAAGTCGCTGGGACATGACGAGGGGCACCAGTGGGCACCTTGCTGTGTACATAATGTGCATGTATGTCAGTTTTTTATGCTATGAAGAGTGTAAAAAATGAACAAAATCCATGCATTATGACATATGTGTATGAAATGAACCAGTTACCCCTATAACAATATTACCCTTATAACAATATTTCTTGGTCTGACGCAAATATCGTTATAAGGGTAGGTCGACTGTAGTTTGTGCAACGTATGGACACTACTCTCAGTAAAGTAGTGGTCTGTACTGCACGAGTATGAGGGGGGGGGGGGGGGGGTGATTCCCCAGGAACATGATCTGATCCAGCTAGTACTGGTATGATGCAAATCTATCTACACAGGAGTTAGGTGCCCCCCCCCCCCCCCCCTCCCCACACACACCCCCTGCACAACCGTGATACTCAGGTCTAGTAGTGCTAACCAACACTGAAGATAGAGACCATCCCAAAGAGGGCAATTTCACCAAGCATGGCTGCACTGTGGTGCATGATGGCTAATCAGTTGTAGTTGCCACAGACTGCTGGTTATCTTAGCACCTAACTTGCTGTTACTCCTGCAAGTCACTTGCTCAGTGCCATCCAATCCCACAGCAACACATGTGCATACTCATGGACATGCATATTATTGCATGGTGAAAAGACGTGATGGTGGCTGTGTGGATGTAACTGGCTGGGAGTCGTTGACCCAGTCGTTCCTGTCCACTACTGTACTGACCGACTGTCCGTGTAGTTAATAGCTACATGTATATGCTGTATATGCGTGTACGTGTGTGGTGTATAGTTTTATCGGCCACCCCCTGGAAGCTCTGGAGCGTATCTCACTAAATCTGTGCACGCTCACACCCGGCACTGAAACTCACAAACATGTTACCAGGAGCAGGCATGGTCCTCGGTGCATGTGTGTATTGTGTTACATCAAGTATCACATGTACCGTGTGTACGTGTGGTGTGTAACTTCTAGTTTCTGCCGGTGGCTCTCGGCCGGTGGCCATTGAGGTTTGGAGTGGCACAGCAGTGGTCACAGCTAGTAGCATACAAGGAATGCTTGAATGCTTGAGCCCACAGTGAGCACAAGACCCAGCCAAGGGCAGAGCTGGGATCCATGATCCATACCCAGACTGGTCTAAAATACACATGGCCCCCACACGCTGGTACTAACACATGGTAACCCAACTACTAGAATCTCAGTGTGCACGTGGCAACCACAGCAATTCAGGCCCACACTGCATCACACAAGACCAAGAAGCCACCCCACACAAAACGTCTGGGGTTCAACAGCTCAGAGTCGATTGCCTTCAACAAAATTAATAATTTACACGTCATGTTTGTGACATGCGTGATTCCTGACAGTTACAGCCGCTCTTTAGAAACATCCTGCACACTGAGGAAGTGCGGAGTGTCCAGGCAGGGACCCACTGTAAACACTACAGGCAGTGGCTTGCATATGCCAGCTCTGTTGCTGTGCCTCCCCACAGTGTCACTCCAAGAAGGTGTTTTCACGCTTTGTTCTCACTGAGTGGGCCCATGCCCAGTTTACAAACCATGGGCCATGGTTTGGAAACTGGGCATTTGTATTAAATTTGTATTTATGGATTCTCCACAGGCCTTAGCCTAAATCGAGGGAGTCTCCGTGCATTGTCGGAGAAGCGACAAGATTATTGTGATGTGGTACACACACAAACATACACACGGAATACCGTAAGGTAACGTTCGTTCCATGTAAAGTCAGTTTCTTTTTTACAAGTCTCCCCGGGCTGAAATGACCGTGTATGACTAGGTAGTAGGTACAAAGTACACGCAGTACACGCTGTAGATCTACATGATCACAACGGAATTACTCACCAGAACAACAATCCCACAAACACACGAACGCCCACTGTTTCTCCTTACCTAACAGTTGCGTGAGCTCCGTCTCCGCAAAGATGCCGACTGACGCTGCTTCGGCGTTGTACGCTCCACAGCGCGCTTTCTCTTGCGGGTTCGGCAGGCTCTCGCACTCACTTGCCGACTGGGTGAATCGGAAACGCGTCGTCCATGTACTGCCACCATCTCCAGATGTCTGGACGAGAAACTTGTCGGGCAGCAGCGTCAAACTGATTCGGATGGTGAAGAGAATATAGCGCGACGGTAATGCCAGCTCCACGTTCACCGTGCTGTCCGCAGTCATTTGAATTTCGGACTGCCAACTTCCCGGCGCTGCGGCCAGGTGCTGAACGTCGAATTGGCCATCGGTCGCAGGCTCGCACTTCACCTCCCCACCTTCCAACTCACAGTTTGGTTCGCCATCTTTAAAGCTGCTCCCGGCGGACAAGAGAGCCGAGGGCAGACTACTCGTTAGGTCGAAACTCGACGGCGAGCAGAACTCAGTACCTTGTCCACCCTCAGCAAGCACACACTCTGCTAGCGTCTCCATTCTTCCAAACGATAATGACAGCATTAGCAGTGCGGGAAGCGCAAGGAGAGGTGTCCAACTCCTGCCGCGCCGCACCGTGTGACAAACCGAACGTTGTAAACACGTGGGCCGGAGGAGCGGAGGTTGCTGCTCTTTCGTTCGCGATTGACAAGAATGTGACGACAGCAGCCGTAACACATGGTGCGGCTGTTCTTCCGTCAACTGAACACACATACTACTGACACACTAGCCGCCAAGTCCGCGATTCACACCAAACCACAGTGCAGTGGTACTGACTGCACTAGAGGAAACGTTCTCGTCGACGTCTACGACCACCATGCACCACCGCTTGTCAAATAAATTTTGTTTTCGGGACGGCAGATCTACCCTGGCGCTGCACTGTCTTTGACACGAAATGGTTGCAAAATTTCTGTTGCTCTCTACTTTGAAGCGCCAGTATTATTCTTCGCAGTATCGTCTCGTGCTGCTCTACTGTGGTCCGTCTCTAAATAGCTCCGTGAGTTGTCCCTCCCGCAACACTTTCAGCCAGGATCGATATCGCCAGGAAGCGGCTCCCTCTTTGGTATGGGGCGCTGGAAATGTCTTTTCGCGGCCACAATGATCAGGTTTCCCCTGGCTAGCTGCAGCATGCAACAGGAACAAGATTATAATCCAGTCAGTTAGAAATTCACCACGCTATTGAATGATGCATGAGCGAACACCGGTTGCCCGATCAGCAGATAGAATGTCACACCTAATCACTGCCTCGTGCTCACTGGCTGGGAAGACAGACGTAGACCATGGTAGACCGTGGTGGGCCCAATCCAGATCTTTGCTTTTCGGCTTGCGCTAGCAGTTGTGGTGTTGTCGATGCTCGCTGACCTAGGTAGGCGGCAATAGCGTATTGGTACTCGCTAGAGACATGCCCAACTGGATCGTATCAGAAGGAAAACTCTGGCCAGCTCTGGTGCAGCTTGCACGCTTTTTGGAGCAGCGTGGCAGCCCGCTGCAATATGTTCGACACAATTTTGATTGAGCAAGATGATAATGAAGATTTCGCCAAGACGATGCACCTGCGGATAAGTCAGAGTTAGTTGAGAACAGTGGCGTGCTAGTGAGTCGCACTCATGGCAGCACTTGGCTGCTAAGTGCTCCTGGAGAGGCTGTTGTCACTGGGACGGAGTTTGGTTTTCCCTGGTAGAGCCTACATTTCGTGCAAGGTTCGTTTTCCATCGACTTCTGCGCAGACCAGACAAGTAGACTCGGTTGTGCTTTGCCCATAGCACTTGGTGCCGTCCTCGCACTTGGGATCCACTTGCGACTGGCGGAAATCGTCAGAAGGCCAAGTCACGACACAGTCACGACTGTCGCAGTGTCGGCAGCACTGTCCAATTATTTTACATCAAGCATGGTATGGAGCATGAGCAGCACCAGGCTGGTTATTAGTTATTACTAATAATATTATTATTAGATTAGATCCCTCACTGACCTTGTTGAACTCTAGGTTGTGGTCTGGTGTGGAGCTTTGATTATTTCTAAAAGACATTATTATGTAAACATAGTCTACATGACTGTACATTATGTACCTACCACATGCCAGGAAAGTGTACTCAATATCAAAAAGTAACTTTAAAAAAATCTGAAAGGCCAGACATACCACGTCGTGTAGATCTACATGATTGTAGCTATTGTAGGTATAGTCTCATCTCCAACTCCTACACTACAGGTACGTACAGTGTACTGTCCCCGGGGAAAATTGCGGAAAAAATCGCAAAAAACGCGGGGAAAAACGCGGCATAATATGGCATAATTTGCGGTGAATTTGCGGTAAATATGCGGTGAATAATATTGATGTGCGGCAATTTTCAGTGAGTATGTAGTGAAATCAATCAGTTACAAGTCTCTGGTGTAAGCACTCGTCATATTTGAGTAAAAAGCCGCCACGATGAGACGTTGCTGACCGAACAGTGCACTGTGTGTACGTGTAGTGCAACAAAAAAGTTCAAAAAACGCGGGAAAATCGCGGAAAACGCGGTCTTTAAAAAACGCGGAAAAAAACGCGGAATCGCAATTTCCCCCCCCCCCGGGGACAGAGTGTAGTCTTATTCCTACAGGTACAGTAGTACTGTAGTCTTATTGTTCACATCACTCAATATCCCAAGTACTTCTTATCCAAACACAACTATTGCTTCCATATGAACTGTACGGATCAATACACCCCTGCTCCGTACTAAGCAACAGTACAATACACCCCTGCTCCGTACTACTAAGCAACAGTATGAACTATGATAGTACTTGTAAGTTTTTAAACTGGAGTAAAGGCCTCATTTACGGGCAAGATAAAGTCTATGGATGTGAAAAAATAGAAATACCATGAAAAGAAAAAGTAGTATTTCAGTACGATACATTGGAAAACTTCAAGTGAGTTCTACTGCAACCGTATTGGACCTGAAACTGTTAGTGTTAGTGGTACCTGCTTGAAGTAGGTTGGAGTATAGTTTTGTAACCTTTGTCTCATACAGAAGGTGTAATTCTTCAGTACAACTTACATGTACAAGTACAAGTCAAGAAATCTCACAGTCATACGTCATTGTATACAGTGTGAGCGTCATACATTGTATATAATGTGCGCGTTGAGTAGATCTACAATGTACATGATTGTACAGTCATGGTATTACATGTATATAACCCAATACTAGTTCAAAACTAGTATTACTATTAGATAAACCTTGTTGTAGTTCACACATATTGTTAGATTGACAGCATGAAACAAGGTGGAGGACGCTGTGTTCAGAAACAGTGACCTTACTACAACCTTCGTTCCACGGTTGGCAGAGCCCCAGTCCAAATGGTCCTAATGGACCCGGGGCTCTGCCAACCCTGGAAGGCTGTAGTAACGGGTCACTGTTTCGGAACACAGTGTCCTCCACCTTGTTTCATGCTGTCAATCTAACAATATATTTGTACATGTACATGTATGCGTCAGAACTTGCAGAGGTACATTACATGTTTCGTGGAGCCTGTACAGGCAGAAAATTTCGTGGGTCAATAACTTTGTCTAACTCCAAAGAAGGGGAGTTCGTGCGGTTGAAAATTTCGTCCATGGATCACAAGAGTGTATTGAAAACTTGAAAAGCTGGGCAAATCGACATTAGTCCGGCATTTAGTTTAGTGCAAAAGCTCCTTGGACGAAATTAAATAATTCCAGACGAATATTTCTGCTTATACAGTAATAATTCACCCGTTTTAGTTAACTTAAAACTGTTCAGGCTGTCGTTAGTCTCCTGGCAGAGCCAGAGAACACAAGTAAGTTCCAGCTAACCGCTTAGCAGACATTGGTCATGACGAATCCATGCACAACACGACCTGGTCAATTAAAATTTACATGTACATTACCAAGCCAGGACCGTGCCATCCAGCGGCTTGACAGGACATACAATACATACGGTATTGATAAACGAAAATTAATAATAATGTTACTCGACCTCATGAAATGATGCCGTTAGTTGTGAATTCAGGCATATTCCTGTGGAAACGGGCAGTACATATTCAATATAGGTCAGACAAACAAGTTCATTGTGACAGTTTGAAAGCTCCTTGTGACACTCAATTCCAAGACCAACAGTTCCTTGATCATAAATCAATGAATCATCCATTCAACCATGTGTAGGATTATCTCTTTGAACGCAAAGTACATGTAATTAGTTAGCAGTAGATTGTAGTTGCACTGGGCAGGACTAACGGTATTTAAAGCTCTGTGTACGAAAAAGATTGTCTTTGTGGAAGGGGATTTCCCCAAAGATCCTAGCCTGGGGGTTACAGTCAACGTTACTTTGCGTATAACGACACTCGGCCGGGTATCAGAAAAGTGTCCTTATAATATTCGCGAAATGTCGTTATACCCGAAGCCTCATTGTATGCATACAGGTAGAATGGACTTTGCTCCGGGCATGGAAATTCTGTCGTTATTCGCGAATTGTCGTTATATCCACAGTCGTTATTAGCAAAGTTGACTGTACTTTGAGAGACCATTTCAAAACAGAGCACCGACCGTAGGCGTAGGCTCGAGTCCAGAATCATCTCTGATTCACTCCAACCAGATCTGGACATCCTGGAGCCTGCAAAGACAGCTTTTATTCCATGACTTCACGTTCATTCCCCTCCTGCTAATCTCTTTCTTGTAATCCCCAGTCGTTCCCCACTCACCTTTCTTGAAACGTTCCGCACAGCTGATACAAGACGACTTCTGTCGGAATATTGGCGTTGCAGCTACATGTAAGACGCTGCAAACACCAGCGCTACACTACAGCCCTGGGCTGTAGTGTAGCGCTGGTGTTTGACCTTCGTGGTGGCAAATGTGAGCTCAATATGTTCCTCTTGCGACGAGCTTTCCAGGAAGCTCAAGATTGTCAAAAGGAGACCAAAGTTATGACCCGGAGAATTATGGAATTTGAGGTGAGTCGAGATCAAATTCAGTCTGTGTACAAGTACATTTTTTCCGTACATAAGGGGTTAAAAAACCAGCGGCAGGTCTCCTGCATCTGCTTCTTTGACCTCTCCAAGGCCGTTGACACCGTGTGGCACAAGGGCCTCATCGCCAAACTTCGTGTTTAAAGGGGAAGTTAAGGCAAAAATTAAAATTTCACCAGTTGTAGTCTTCGGGGTGCTGAGTCGAATGGTCTTGGTCCGAGGAAGCTGAGACGCTCCCTTCCTACTTGAATCCCAATCGAACTCGCGCACTTCCACCGAAACTGGGTGACTGCGCCCTACTAGATGGGGATTTGTATGCAAAATGTCACTAAAAGCGCTATTTCGTTCTTATAAAAGCACGGATGACCGCGATTGGCCCATATGTTGTAGTCTTTTGGACGCTCAGTCGACTGGTTTTGGTCCGAAAAGGCTGCGATGCAGCGTTCCTCCTTTATTCCCAATCGAACATGGTTGAACAAGCGGTCACGTGCTCCTGGGTGCCCAAATCACCTGGTCACCACGCCAGCAGGCGAGAACTTTCACACCAAGGTTCAACTCGAGTGACAGGATTGCACCCAAAAAAGGTCAAACAGGCTAGTAAGTAAGTTGTACCCTGCAGGCACGGTGACCAGGTGACTGGCGTACGCAGGAGCACGTGACCGCTTGTTCAACCATGTTCGATTGGGAATAAAGGAGGAACGCTGCATCGCAGCCTTTTCGGACCAAAACCAATCGACTCAGCGTCCAAAAGACTACAACATATGGGCCAATCGCGGTCATCCATGCTTTTATAAGAACGAAATGGCGCTTTTAGTGACATTTTGCATACAAATCCCCATCTAGTAGGGCGCAGTCACCCAGTTTCGGTGGAAGTGCGCGAGTTCGATTGGGATTCAAGTAGGAAGGGAGCGTCTCAGCTTCCTCGCACCACGACCATTCGACTCAGCACCCCGAAGACTACAACTGGTGAAATTTTAATTTTTGCCTTAACTTCCCCTTTAAGTTGTCTCCGGCTCCCTACTCTATTATTATTATTATTATTAGACACAATCTCATAGCATGTGACAAGCATAGCTAATGCAGGGACAGAATCCCCTGAGACAAGGGCGTTGAGCCAGCCACGGCAATAGTAAGCTAGGAAAACAAAGCAAATATGAATTAGAGCAGAAAATGAATGGAAAATTACAAAGAAAAAAAAAAACGATTAACGGAAGTGAGCACTATCAAAATTCGTGCATCACCCAGGTATTCGAGAATGTTCTTCGATGATAATTATTGCGTCTAGTTCAGTTGTGATAGTAGATCTTTAAACTGACCAATAGAAGAACAAGTTTTCAGACCGTAT